AAGTTTTTGGTAGAGCTAAGGAGGGTCTCTACTTGCTTCAGCCATATTCTAAGAAGTCTATTTTTCAGTCCACTGTTTCCCAGTTATCTCAAAATCATGTTTCTTTTCCTTTGTCTGTCTGTTCTAGTGCAATTTCTGATGTAAAGCTGTGGCACATTAGACTTGGGCATTTGCCCTTAACATCAATGAAAAATGTCAGTTTCATTTCTGTTCCTTCTAGTCTTGATTGTTATTGTGATATTTGTCCACAAGCTAGGCAATCTAGGCTCCCCTTCCCTATCATTCAAAGTAAATCTAAATCCAAGTTTGAACTAATTCATGTTGATACTTGGGGGCCATACAAGGTACCAACTTATAATCATCATCGATATTTTCTCACTATAGTTGATGACTATAGCAGGGCTACTTGGACATATTTATTAGCCAGTAAGAGTAATTCTTTCCATGCTTTACAGTCCTTTATACAGATGGTGCAAAGACAATTTGATGCAAAGGTTAAGATAATAAGATCAGATAATGCTCTTGAGCTAGGGAAAAGTGAGGCAGGTCTCTGTTTCTTCAACTCCTTTGGCATCATTCATCAGACCTCCTGTGTTGCTTCCCCTCAACAAAATGGTATTGTTGAAAAGAAGCACAGACATTTCCTTGAGACTGTTAGGGCACTCATGTTTCAATCAAAAGTTCCTATGATTTATTGGGGTGAGTGTATCTTAACAGCTACTTTTCTTCTTAACAGGTTCCCATCCAAAGTTCTTGATGGCAAAACACCTTTTGAATTAGTCTTTGGGAAAACCCCCACTTATCATTTCTTAAGATGTTTTGGTTGCTTATGTTATGCTAATACTTTGTGTCAGGGGAGAGGTAAATTTGACTCCCGGGCTAGCAGTTGTGTACTTCTGGGATATCCTATAAATCAGAAAGGTTACAAGTTATTGGACCTACATACTAAGAAGATCTTCATTTCTAGAGATGTGCATTTTGTTGAGCACATATTTCCTTTTGCTACTGCACAATATGTTCCCCCTATTTTTTCAGAACATCCTATTGATTCAGATTTTTTTCTTTCTCCATCTATTCCTTAGACTTCTACCTCTCCCACTATTCCTTCATTGGATCCAGTTTTGGCACCCTCTCCTCCTCCACCCAACCTATCTGACCCAGTTCCTTCTTCCCTTGATCCCACTCTCAGAAGGCCCTCTAGGTCTACATTAGGGAAAGCTCCTTCTCATCTGCAAGATTATCTCTGCAATCTTATCATTCTTACTGATGTCACCCATTCTTGTTTCTCCTCTACTTACACCCCTTCCCCCATTTCTGTTCATACTCTTTCTCCACCCAATCAAATCACAATTCACAATGCCTCTCATATCTTAAAACCTACTAGTTATGCACAAGCTTGTTCTCATCCAGGTTGGCTGCTGAACTTGAAGCTTTGCAATCCAACAACACTTGGGATGTGGTTCCTTTGCCTCATGGTCGAAAAGTTTTACCTTGTAAGTGGGTCTACAAAGTTAAGCAACATGCTGATGGTACTTTGGAAAGATTAAAGGCCAGATTGGTTGTAAGAGGTGACAAACAACAACAGGGGATTGATTTCACTGAAACTTTCTCCCCTGTTGTTAAGATGACCACTATTAGATGTTTGTTGGCTATTGCAGCCAAGAAATCTTGGGACATCTTTCAATTTGATGTCAATAATGCTTTTCTTCAAGGTGATCTACAAGAGGAGGTTTATATGAAGTTTCCTACAGGTTTGGTTCCTCCTCAACCTAATATGGTTTGTAAACTCCGCAAGTCTCTCTATGGTCTCAAACAGGCTTCTCGGCAATGGTATGCCAGACTTGCAGGGGCTCTCTCTTTTAAGGGTTTCGTTGCCTCACTCAATGACTATTCTTTATTTTTCAAGAGGTCAGGTTCTCTTACTACTATCATTGTTGTCTATGTGGACGACATCCTTATTACAGGTGATGATCACCAAGAAATATCTGCTCTTAAGTTATTTCTTCACTCAGAATTTAAGATCAAGGACCTTGGTCTTCTACACTATTTTTTAGGCATGGAAATCTTAATGGAAAAACAGGGTATTATCATCAGTCAAAGAAAATATACCTTGGAGCTTCTACAGGAGTTTGATGTCTCTCATCTTCCATCTGTTTCTTCTCCCTTGGATCCATCTGTCAAATTGCTTGCAGATTCAGGGGATATCATGACAGATCCTACACTATACAGACATCTCATTGGTAAACTTAACTATTTGACTCATACACTCCCCGATTTGTGTCATTCTGTTTTGATTCTTAGTCAATTTATGCAAACGCCGTGCCTGTCCCATTATGATGATGCTTTGAGAGTGGTGAGTTACCTGCAGCATTGCCCTATTCAGGGTTTGTTCATGTCTCTTTCTTCTTCATTTTCCCTCAAGGCCTTTTGTGATGCCGACTGGGCGTCATGTCGAGATACAAGAAGGTCAATTAGTGGTTTTTTCATACGTTTGGGCGGTTCACCCATTTCTTGGAAATCTAAGAAACAGGCTTTTGTTTCCCTCTCTTCCGCCGAGGCGGAGTATCGATCTATGAGGCGCCTTGTTGCCGAGTTGACTTGGTTGGTGCGCTTACTCTCCGATCTGTCAGTTCCTCCTGATCTTCCAGTCCCAGTTCACTCCGACAGTCAGGCTGCCATCCATATCGCTCGAAATCCGGTCTTTCATGAACGAACCAAACATGTTGATCTCGACTGCCATTTTGTTCGCCAACAGTACTTATCTGGACTCATCTCACTCTCATTTGTTCCGTCGAAGGCACAACTAGCTGATCTTCTCACCAAATCTCTCTCTAGTCCTCTCCATCACTCTCTTCTTCCCAAGTATCGATCTATGAGGCGCCTTCGCAACGATTTCAACCCTTCAAATCCGTCATTTGATTACTTTTACCCCAATTCATTTTGACGCAAGCAAATTATGAACGAATTAAATGATGGACAAGTACCTTTAGTAAAATTGCATCGGTAGATGGAACAGACTTAAACATGTCTCCACCAATATAGCTCAAGTTTTTGCCCCCTTCCAAGCCTTCAACAACATGGGGCAGATCGAAAACAGAGCATTTCAACTGTGGAAAAGCATTAGAAATGGCTTTAGCCACAGTTCCAATGCCGCCTCCAACGTCCACCAACGATTTCAACCCTTCAAAACTCCCTTACCATTTTTAATCAACACACTCATGATCAACCGTGTATCACTTCCCATAGATTCGTTAAATAAACGGTTAAGCCTCGGGTCATCCCCTGCATATTCAAACAATGGCTTCCCATGAGCAGTCGCGAATGGGGTAGAGTCCCCGTTCGCGAACCATTCACCGAGTGAGTGCCATGGATTCATTAAAATTGGATCCAATTGCGCTTGAACAAACGGGGCTAGACTCAACGGCTCGTTTTTAAGGAGGAGACACGAAGTTGGAGTAAGTAAATAACCTTCTTCTCCTTGAGTAAAGAAGCCAGCGTGAATTATAATACGCATGAGACGATCAATACAATCGTGACCTTTCGATTTGTTGATAGGGAGAGCATTCACTAAATCGGATGGGGTCATGGCTATGAATGATATCTGGAATTCCGAGCTGAATTGCACATTTGAGTGACATAGAATTGATGTAATTCAACACATGGTTCGCTATGTGTGCTTGAGCAGCAAGGACTTCATTAGTTTCGTATCCAATATTATTAGGCAGTGCCATTTTTGTGAGATTTTTTGTTTGAGATGTGTAATGTTGTGACTATGAAATCTATATTTATAAGATAAATTAGTAGACATGTGATAAATAACATGCCATATTTAGAAGAATTAAGGAGATTCACTATACATAAAATTTGATTTTTTAAGATATGGTAAGTATTGTCATAAATCAAATTTCTATTGGGAAGTTATTTATATTTTGATGACTTCCCTTCTAAATATGAAATGTTGTCTTGGTATATCATTCACATTTTGACCAAAATTTTCCAGTTCGAAAATTGTACTAAAACATTTATTATTTCTTACACTCTGCATTAGGAATTAAGGAATATCATTAATAAAAGGGAAATAAATAAATATACAAGAGGCTGGTTCCTTTGTTAACACATAGAAGAATAACATTTCCAATAATGCACAAACAGGGAACATAAGATAGAGTATTGGCTTCTATTGTATGCTTTTGGATCGTTACATAACGGACGGTATAAGTAGTCTATTTTCTGTTGATGATATAAATATCCATATTATTTATCTCAATATCCCTTTTCTAGTGGATAATATTCATATTTGATTCATTTTTAAAAAAAATCATTTATAGGACCCATATCTAATTAACAGGTCAAATTTATTAAACCATTTTACCAGCCCTACGGTACTCCATTGTTTTTTGTCCAAAATTTTGTCTTATCACATTATAACCCTTCATCAGATTCTCATGAAATAAAACATTACTTTCAAGGAATTTTGTTTGTTGAAAAGTTATCTTTAGAAGATTAAAATACAAAAAGCAAGATTACGATTGAATTCTTTTCTTCAATAATGTCTTTGCTTCACTTCAAGAAGCTAAGTATTTACCAGGGAAAGACTACCTATCTCTTTTTGAATGGAAGAAGCCGAAGTACTCAAAATTCATGCGCATAACAATACAAGAGTTCTTTTATTAACACATAAAGAACGGAAATCTTCACTAGATTAATTACTGGCTTCTATTATTTTTATTATTACTAGTGGCAATGGCAAATATTAAATATATGCAGGGTCATGTTTTATTTAATTTGTCCAATTAAGGGTAAACCTCAATAACACATCTTAATCCTTAAGATAGGAATAATGTTGTAGTCACTAAAACTAGCATCATAGAAGAGTTTTGCCCATTCTTGTTCCCTTTTTTGTTTTCCAGAAACAGCGACCATCATACGCATGTCATAGAAAAGTTGAGTTTCATATGACTTATTGTCGTCGTTACTCGTTATGATCTATCGGTACCATGTCAATGATGATCACCTTTCCTCCATTTCTCCTTATTTGGAATTGCTTCTTTACATTTCTTCAATATTTTTATACAATCTTCATCCTCCCAGTCAAGTAGTACTAACTGCTTATAATATATGATTCATCAAAGGTAAAACATTAGTACCTACATGCAGTGGCGGAGACAGGAATTCTATCAAGGAGGTTCAAATAAAAAAAATGTTGTTGCCTGGAATTGAACCTGTGACCCAAAGCTCACATATAGGCGAAATCCTGAACCCCATAAACCATTGAGCTACTCCTTTGACATATGCTCAAGGGGTTCAATTTTAAATATATACACGTACACAAAAAAATTGATCTTATATATATAGTGTAATTTTTTTCCCGAGGGGGGTTGGATGACCCCCTGGACACACTCTACATCCGCCACTGCCTACATGTACATGTACATTTACAGAGTATTGTAATATGAATTTTAAGTTACGTACCTTTAGGGGCCGTTTGGTTACTGGTTAGAGTTATGCAAGTATCAGTTATACATGGTTTAGTTATGCAGGGTTTAGAGCCCGTTTGGATTGACTTAAAAAAAGTAACTTTTTAAAGTGCTGGAACTTATTTTTAAAATAAGTAGTTATGTGTTTGGATAAAAGTGCTGCAGTTGAAAAAAAAGTTATTGATGTGTTTGGCAAATAAGTGTTGGTAAACACTTTTTTTTTTATCAAAATGTCTGAAATACCCTTAAAGCTGTTAACATGATAAAAAGTTGATTAATTTAAGGTTTTTATACTTAAAAAAAAA